GAAAATGAATCATGCAAAACTGAGTCATGGAAAACCAACGAACGATAATCAGTTTCCAAACGATAGTTGTATGTCAACCTGAGTCTCGGTGGTGCATAAAAGTTTTCACTTTAACCATTTTAATTTTTTTTTTATTTGTTTAAAAAGAAAAAAAAATGTCATCCGTCGCCGATGTGTAAATTTTAATTATGAATATTGGATTATTAACGATTATTTAACGTAAGTAATTTTTAACTTTATAGTTTTTTAAAATTTTAAAGGGATAATATTGTACTACGAAAATTTTAACGGAAATTTAATAATTTAAAAGTAATTTATAATTTTTGTGAATTGATAAAATTGAATTTTTTTATTTTTTATTCCCCCCCAAAAAAAAAAAAAGTTGACCCAAAATAATTGATAAATAAAATTGTTTTTATTTTAAACAAAAGTACAATAAAAACAATTTTATTATTATTAATTTTTTCATTCGAATTATGGATAAAAAATACTTAATTAGGGTTTTTGTTTTAAAAAAAAAGCATGAATTCTTAAAAATTTGTTTTTGTTTTGTTAAATTTAATTGAAAGTTATCAGTTGAGTCTTAATGTCTGAAGTAAAATATTCTGGAATACATTCCATTTAAATGACGAAACAAACATTTCCGGAACCCGCCAACAAAGAATGACTCATGTTCACGTGATGCAACAATCGGAGGCTTTCGTTATTTCTCGGAAAACCTCGAATCTGGACGCTTTTATTTTAAATGATAATATTTTTTTAAAAAAATGTTATTCTCTTTACTTTTCTTATCTGAAAATAATTTTTTTTAATTTGACTTATAACCTAAACGAATTTTTCAACGTACAAAGAACTAATGGTTTACGTTTTGCATGTGGAAATTATGTATCTTTTAAAAATTTTTTACTCTTAAAACAAGACCTAATACTTGTGGGTGATGACATCATCCAGTTAAAACAGAACTTCTAGTAATCGATGAGGATTTCCCCTTAAAAGAGGGTGACTCATCTTTGTTTAGAGTAAAAAAAAACCTTTTGTAAACACAACAGGTGAATTTTGAATTTTTTTTTTTTTCCCCCCGTTTTTAAATTCATTTTTTTTAAATATTAAATTACCGTAAGTGAGTACATAATAGTTTTTAATTAAGTTAATACCGAGTGATAAAATGAAAATTGAGGTACAAATCAAGGAAGAATTTTCGGACGAAGAAACCGAATACGCAAGTGATATATCAAATAATTCAAATTCTTTTATTTTGGGATCATCTCAAAGTAATTCTCTAATTGAAACCTCAGGATGCAATCCCGTAAGTACTTTTCCAAATCATGCTTAAAACACGTGTTTTATTCTTTTTTTTTTTTTTTTTTTTTAAACTCACACAGTCTGGCGTAATGGCGAACAACAAAGTGCGCAGTCACATGATTGATGTTGTTAAAATGGCATTCGATTTTTAATTTTTGTTTTATTTTATTGAATCTTGTTTTTTTTTTAATTAATAAATACATTTTTTGAAATAATTTAATTGAAACGGTTATTTATTATTATTATTAAAATAAATTATTTAATGAATTTTTTGCATAAAGATATACGTAGAGTTACGTTCTCTCTCTCTCTTTCTCTACAAGGGAGTGGTCAAAAAAAGCATTAAATCGTTTTAACATTGAATTTATATGAAATTCAACGTATTTTCCTATTCTTTATTGTCTTTAAAAAAAAAAAAATGTTATTAACAACTTTTTGTTTATTATAAAATATATTTTGAAATGTTTTGAATTTTGACAATTACTTTTTTTTAAATTGTATAAAACAATTTTTATGGGCCAAACATTTTTTTTTTTATTTTTTGATTTTCAAAAAAAGTATTATCAAAAGATACATTGCAAATGTTCATTTGTCACAGAAAAGTGTTAATTGTTTTTTTTTTAAATAAGAAAAATTTATTTGGATTACAAGATCCAATAGTTGAAATTACCAATTATCAGAAATTTTAAAAATGTGTATATATGTGTGTGTGTAGGCCTAGGATAACATATAATCAAGTGAATTTCTGTTGTCTGATTACTTTCCTATTGGCACCATATTTTAGTTAAATCTGTGGTTTTTTAAAATTAAATAAGTTAATGTAACTAATGGAGGATTTACTTTACATTTGTCTTTATTTTATATTATGAGCCTCTTTGTAATCGTTTACAGTTGTGAACATATTGAATACTCTAATGTTTTCAGTTAAATGATATCGTTGGGAAAAAATAATTATTTGTAATTATATGTATATTATCCCTTTTGTTACAATGAATATATTAAGCTTTAACAACATTAAATGTGATTTAATATTAAAATAAAATGAGCCACTAATAGAGTCAGAGTGTCGATTACACTTAATTTATAAATAATAATAATAATTCATTGTATTTTTCATTTAAAAAAAAAATAGATAAATTAATTATTCATGATTAGAATGTAATTTAATACAATAATTATACATTATTATAATCAAAATTTTAGGCTTTTTTGTTTTGTTTTGGTTACTAAAAACAATTATCTTAATTCTCGATAGGTTTTTTTTATTATTATTAAAAACCAATTAAGTAATTGAAGTTTTGTTACAATGTTCCCACCATGGTTTACCTTAATCTCTTGCACATTTTTTATATAGTTAACCTTGACCACATTTTAATATAACCCTTTTTATAATATACACTTACTTGAAAAGTATCAATAATAAATATTAATTTAAAATAATTTTTTTAATATTCAACTCGTTAAAACTTTAATACAAAAAAAAAAAAAAATTGACTGGATAAATATAATAGATACATTTACAAATATTATAATGATTTATTATTTTCAATAATTATAAAAAGTTATAATGATCATCGAAAGTAAAGACAACCAGCAAAAATATATAATTACTTAAAAATTTAATTATTATTTTTTATAAGGAATAAAAATTGAAGGATGATTACTGTTAAAAAAAATCATTTTTAAATTTTGGTAAACTATTTAGATTATATTTATTTATTTTTTATAAATAAATACAAAAACACAATAACACAATAAGATATATTTTTATTATTGTGTTGAAACCGGTGCCTTAAATTTAGTAAAGAAAAATGGCAGATTCTTCAAATTCATGATATTTCATTAAATAATTAATTATTTTTTAATCAAAGTTTTAATTAAAATTCAAATATCTGTCATAACTCTTCTTTTCTTTTTTGTTTTTTTTTTTTTAAGTTTTATAACGTGAAAAAAAAAGTAAGGAAAAGTCTTTTGTGTTGTGAGGGGTTGATGAATTTACACATAATTTTAACAAATTTCCCTTCGACTG